AAAGAAACAGAAGTTGAGAGAAGAATATAGAAAAAAAAGTTATAAAACCATAAAAAAAAAAAAAAAAAAAAAAAAAAAAAAAAAAAAAAAAAAAAAAAAAAAAAAAAAAAACACCGGCTCCATCGGCGACAATTTCACAATGGCCTGTGGAGTAATGGAAGCTCCAAAAAGTTGTGCTAAACTAAGTTTGCTTCCATCGACGGTTGTGGAGGCTCTCTAGAGTCTGTTGTCAGCTCTTGTACGAGTCTAGCGTCTTGGGATAAGGTAAGGTATTGTTTTTTGTCATGTTCAGCTCGTATCGGTTTACCAATAGGCACTTCCAGGAGGGGACGGTATGTTGTGAAGCGCAGAATGTAACATCACTGCCTTTGGGCCTCGCTCCACTACTCACCACATGCGCGAAGACAAAAAATGTGGTGGTGTATTTTCCCATGCCCTATCAGAAGATTCATTCTCATTTTGCACATTTGGTAAGTAGTGGAGCAAGACCCTTTGTTGTGAAGTTCGGAATGTAACATCGGTGCCTTTCGTTTTCCAATGCGATCCTGCACAATTCCCTTTTGTCTTATCCGCCCGTCTGGGGTGTATCTTTGATGTCTGTGCATCCCAGATTGGTTGTAGCTCTGTTTCTGTTTTTTTTGGGTAAAAAACTAGTTTCAAAAATAGAGCGTGGCAGTAGCTTCACAGCAAAAATAGTGGCGGTGCCCAAGTTTCGTTGCAAAAATACTCCTTTCGTTGCAGCTAGGGGTCCCGGTAGTTTCCCAAGAAGAATATTTGCGGGCGCGGTCCAACTTTCGTTGTTGCAAAAGTACTTCTTTCGGACCCCGGCAACATTTCCACCGGGGAACTTCGAAAACACGCTATTTCTGCAATTACCCCTTTTTTTTTTGACTCCTATCAACTCCTCGAATGCTGTGTGCTTGTGTCTGAAGGTTGACCGGCATCCTGCTAAGGGTTCCTGTTAGGACCTTCTTATGCAGATTCCCACTTACATTGAACCATGGGTTTCACACACATTTCCAGAGACACATAAACAAACACCAGTACATCGGTTTCACACACAGTTCCAGATACATAAACAAACACCAGTAGTACTGGCCATATATTGTTGAGGTCCACACAAGAGAACGAGAACGGAAGTGTCAAAATTTTCAATAGTACTACTGTCTCACCCAAATAGAGTGCCCGCCGCGCGGTCATTTTAGCTGTATTTGGGGCAACTTCAAGCCAACTTTCAGTCTAGGTGCCAGGGGTTATGGCCGGGCGTTGGGACGGGGAAAGATGGTAACAACAGATCCTCTGTTTCTCGTGGTCAAGTGCCTTTTTCATTTCCTTGGGTGTTCTGCATTTTCCTCCCAGTCCCCCTCTTCCTCCGCTCTCTCCTGGCGACCATCCGGAGATGAGGACTGGCCGGACGTACTTCTGCCGGGCATGAACCTGGGCAGCGCCAGCACGCCGAAGAAAAACAACCCCAAGATAAAAGGAATTCCGGAGAAATCAATATGTTATGTAGAATTGAAATGCGAATGATGTTTGGCTGAGGGTCACATCAGAATTTGTCACGGAAATGAAGATGGAAAAGGGATAAAAAACAGAGTTAGACTAGGGCACAGCGCTTCAAAGTTGAAACCCCTTTAAAACCAATTTATGCCTCCCTGTTGCCCCATTGACAGGCAGCACTCAGTAAAAGAAAAGAGCGTGGATTTGGGCTTCTATGTGCGGAAATCCCCCAACGCCAAAAGAAAGGGAAAAGAAAGTGACCCAACTTATTCCCATTCCCGGCTACTGTGGGCGTCGGACCCGGCTGCTCAGGTTGACAGCCTGGGGGAAAAAGTTCAAAAAACAGTATGTTGTGCAGCATCACAACACAAACCACCTTTTCGTAGAGGGCATTGGGCAATGAACTTACTGGCCCCAGGTCATTCATCTGACCATATCAGGATCCGAAGTCAGGCCTGCATATCGACAGTTCATCTTTATACTATTCACCCCATGGGCATGCCAGGCCTGGACACCAGACCAATCCAGCCGCCTGCGCAGACCTCGGTCTCGATTGACTGTCTGGATTGAAACGCAACCCCTATGCCACCCACCCCCCTGGCAAGAACGTCGGGTTTTTTTCCCCCTCCTATTTGGCCGCGAACTTTGACATTGTCCTCAGCTGAAGATTTTCCTGTTGCAATGCTGCATAGCTTTTCCTTTTTCCATATTCTTTTTTTTTTCTTTCTTTTTTTTTTTTTTTTTTTTTTTTGGGGGGGGGGGGGGGGGGGGGGTGAATATCTGGATGCGCCGGACGGACAGCAGACCCAGACATCTGGGCCCAGATCGTCTGCACACCGATTGGGACGTCCTGATCGTACCCATAATGCACCCAAATGGGCTGTTTTCTTTTTCTCTCTTTTCGTTTTTGTTTCCGGTTCTGTATATCAACACTTTTGTGTACCATTCCCCCACATGGGTTGTTTTTATTTTTATGTATTTCTACTAAGAATCTACTTGTTATTTGGTTTTAATCCGGACCATTTCTGGATTTATCATTTATGTGGGTCATCCTGGCTGAGGGGGCATGCTGAATACCTTTGGATGGTTCCGATTTTGACGGATGTCATGAATGAATGGCCGAGGGTCATTTCGAAATTCGCAACCAAACTTGAGGAAATGTTCAGAATGAAAAATAAAACACCATTTTTAGCACGCTACGCCGCTACCTTGTAAACATTAGATCTGGACACATCCTTTACGGGGGATTCTGGTTTCCGGTTGGGCCTGGTGTCTGAGGCCGTGGTGGCCATGCTTCTTTTTGCCACTTTCATTGTTGCTATAAGGGTCACCATTTCTTGTTGTCATCAAACACCTCTGACCGATTGTTATTTCTGTGCATCCAGCTGTATCCTCCTCTCCCTCCTCTTCTTCCTCTTTCCTCCTTTTCCTCTTCTTCCTCTTTCCTCCTCCTCCTCCTCTTCTTCCTCTTCCTTATCTTCCTCCTTTTCCTCAACTTGTTGCTGTGCTTTGAGACTATGCCATCACTGCTGGTGATGGCTTTGATCTCGTCTGGTCGAGAGACTTGCCTTAGTAGAAATGCTGTATGGAGGCGGATCGCATAATGTATTCTTATATTTCATATATTGTGGTCAGGCTTCTTTGTCGACATTTCACTATACCGTGGTGGGAAGACTCCTCCACCAAGTGCATGTGAGAAACCTGCAGATGCTGATGATCACATACTGAGCAGTGCGCTAAGTTTGCTTAACTTGGAGGATGAAGAAGATGCATTGGCGGATGATGTCGAGCACCTGATGTTGAAGATGAAGTTCCTCCCATACAAGGTGGGCGGGTCACCTGTTCCCTCACATCGTTTAAAATTGTGCTCGTGTTGGTTGTTCCTGGTGGCTGTGTTGATGAAGGTTCATCTTGGGAGATCTTCCAGCTGCATTGGTGTTGATAATTTTCCATATCAGTGTGCTTGCAGATGTCTTGGAAAGGGTTACCTGACTTTCACTGTGCTGCCAGGGTACACATGAAGGGATCGAGGGGAAGGGCAAGAGGAGAAAACATGGTGTGTGCACGAGAGAGAGAGAGAGAGAGAGAGAGAGAGAGAGAGAGAGAGAGAGAGAGAGAGAGAGAGACGATATCTTGGAAAGGGTTACCTGACTTTCACTGTGTGGCCATAGGTACACATGAGGGGGTCGAAAGGAAGGGAAAGAGGAGAAAACATGGTATGAGAGAGAGAGAGAGAGAGAGAGAGAGAGAGAGAGAGAGAGAGAGAGAGAGAGAGAGTGGTATACAGCATTGCAGTCATGGTTCAGCGGTGGAATCAGCGCACCTTGCTTTGCTTGCTGAAGGTGTACGTACTTGTGTTGTGTGCCTCATCTTTCAGGTGTGTTTATGAAATTTGTGATTGTCAAGAGAATAAACTTGTGGAATGTTGTGTGATTTGTTTCTTTTTGGATCTGAATGCAGCTCCGTACATTCATGATAAGAAATGGGCTCGAAGCATTGTTCACGCAAGGACGAGAAGCATACCGGAAGCATTATCAGCGGTTAGTATAAGAAAGAATGCACCCACCCATTTTGCCTATCCGGTCCTCCATTTTATTGGCATTTTGTCTAATAATGGCTCAACAAAAGAACAAAGGACAAGCCAGAGTATGACTATCGTTAGTGGTCACGGAACTGGCTACATTCAGGGGAAAAGGGAACAGATTCTTTTTTTTCTTCTTCGCACACAGAGACTGTATATATATGTATAAACGGCGTTGATTGCAACAGGACCGATGATTTCATTGAGCGGGTTGGTGGCCAGAAAGGGAAAAAACCGGAAAAAAACTTGAAAAAAGCAACGGGCTGGGTTGAAGGCAGATATCGCTGGAGGGGATCTATGAAGGTTTTCACTGACTGGATCAGTCATTAGCATATTTTTCTGAGTTACACTTAAGGCAA